GCTGAGATGGGTGAACTGCTTGAGCCCAGAAGTTGGAGACCATCCCGGGCAACATGGTGAAACTCTGTCTCTACTAAAAATACAAAAAATTGGCCCGGCATGGTGGCACACACCTGTGGTCCCAGCTACTTGGGAGGCTGAGGTAGGAGAATCACCTGAACCCAGGATCTCAGATCACACCACTTGCACTCCTGCCTGGGTGACAGAGGCCTTGGTTTTTGTTGTTGTTGTCTGTTTGTTTAAGTCATTGTGCCCTCCCAGTATTTGAGACTCCTCTTTCTTAATCTTATACTTAAATTTAGCTGAGCTTGATGGCTCACTCCTTTAATCTCAACACTTTGGGAGGCCAAGGAGGGAGGATCACTTGAGCCCAGGAGTTCGAGACTAGCCTGGGCAACATGGCAAAACCCCATCTCTACAATAATTACAAAAAAATTAGCTGGGCATAGTGGTGTGCACCTGTGGTCCTAGCTACTCGGGAGGCCGAGGTGAAAGGATGGCTTGAGCCCAGCTCGAGGCTGCAGTGAGCAGTGATGGCACCAATGCACTCCAGCTTGGGTGACAGAGTGAGATCCTGTCTCCAAAAAAAAAAGAAAGAAAGAAAGAAAGAAAGAAAAAGAAAGAAAGAAAGAAAGAAAGAAAGAAAGAAAGAAAGAAAGAAAGAAAGAAAGAAAGAAAGAAAGAAAAAGAAAAAGTTATTAAATCTTTCTCCACACCTCTCGAAATATTTTCAAACTTACAGAAAGTTGCAGGAATAGTACAAAGAGCACCCACATTCCTTCCACTCAGGTTCCTCAGTTGGTACCTTGTATCACGTTTGAGGAGTGTGTGTGTGTGTGTGTGTGTGTGTGTACCCTACCATTTTCTCTTTCTGAATGATTTGAGAGCAAATTGCAGATATGAAGCCCCTGGGCTCCCCAGTAAGTATTCTGCCCACCAAAGGACACTCTACTACATAACCACCATATGACCCTCCAGATAAGGAAATCCACACTGATTCAATGCTTCCAGCCAGTACTGAGACCCCATGCAAGTTTCACCAACTGTCCCAATGATGTCTTTTTGCTTTTTCATCCACAACCACTCCAGGAACACATGCTCCCTTTAGTTGTCGTCTATTCCTTCTCCTTCGATCTGGAGCCATGGTGCCTCAGTCTTTCCCTGTCATTTCTGCCCTTGACAGTTTTCAAGAGTACAGGCCTTTCATTCTGTAGGGTTACTAGGAAATCTCTCTACCCACAGAACACTTCTGATGCAAATGTGTGGGGTTTTTTTCTCATGACAACCAGTTCTCCAACTCTCCAGACAGTAGTCAGGTGTCCAACAATTCAGTAGAATTCTGACACTATAGACCTGGAGTTAGCGTCAGATCCCACAGGTTAAGGGCCTCAGTCTCACAAGACGGCCCCCACTTAAAATGCCAATCTCAAGTCCTGGGTCTCCCATACTTCTAATTGACTCGCAAAAAATCAAAGGTTCCCACAACACCTTGGATTTGCTAATTTGCTAGAACAGCTTACAGAACTCAGGAGTGCTCTTTCCTTACTAGTGTATTTTAAAGGATATAGCTCAGAAACAGCCAATGGGAGAGATGCAGGGGGCAAGGTCTAGGTCAAGAGACGCAGAGCTTCCATGCTTTCTCTGGGCGCGCTGCCCTCTAAGTACCTTAATGCGCTCACCAACTCAGAAACTCTCTAAACTCTGTCTTTTAGGAGTTTTATAGAGGTCCTGTTACTTAGGTATGATTGACTAAATCATTGGCTATCGGTGATTAACTCAACCTTCAGCTCCCCTCCTCTACCTGGAGGTCAAGGGGTGGGGCTCCAAGTTCAAATCTTTTTTTTTTTTTTTGAGAAGGAGTCTTGCTCTGTTGTCCAGGCAGGAGTACAATGGTGCGATCTCAGCTCACTGCAACCTCCCCATCCCAGGTTCAACCAGTTCTCCTGCCTCAGCCTCCCAAGTAGCTGGGATTACAGGCACATGCCACCACACCCAGCTAATTTTTGTATTTTTAGTAGAAACAGGGTTTCATCATGTTGGCCAGGCTGGTCTTGAACTGCTGACCTCGTGATCCACCTGCCTCAGCCTCCCAAAGTGCTGGGATTACAGGTCTAAGCCACCGTGCCCAGCCCCAAGTTCAAATCTTCTAATCACATGGTTGGCCTTTCTGATGACCAGACCCCATTCTGAAGCTATCTAAGGGTCTTTGGGCACCAGTCAACTCATTAGCATATAAAATAGATAACTCCTGTAGCTCCAGAGATTCCAAGGGTCCTTAGAAGTTCTTGTGTCAGGAACCTGGGACTGAGACAAAAATAGTATACTAAAAGATGCTTCTATCACACCTATCACTGAGGAAATTACAAGGATTTCAGGAGCTCTGTGCCAGGAGAGGGGACAGAAGACCAGGTGTATGTTTCTTACTGTATCACAACATCACAAGGGTGTTGGATTTGTCTGATTTTTCCTTTTGACTAGTATTAGAAGCCATGCGTTCTTGGCCAGAATTCTTTAGAAATGGCTCTGTGCTCTTCTCATTACATCGCCACGGGACAAACAATGTCACTGTGTCCCACTGCTAATAATGTTAACCTTGATTACCTGGAAAAGTTGATGTTTGTCAGGTTTCTTGGCCACGCACAGTGGCTCATGCCTGTAATCTCAACACTTTGGGAGGCCAAGGCAGGTGGATTGCTTGAGCTCAGGAATTCAATAGTGGACAACATAGTGAAACCTCTTCTCTACAAAAAAAAAAACACAAAAATTAGCTGGGCATGGTGGCACGTGCCTGTAGTCCCAGCTACCTGGGAGACTGAGGTGGGAGGATGGCTTGAGCCTGGGAGATTGAGCCTGCAGTGAACCGAGATTGTGCCCCTGCACTCCAGTCTGGGTTGACAAAGTGACCCTGTGTCAAAATGAAACAAAATAAAAACCCTCAAACATTATTTTTGCCTTTGTAATTGAACAGCATTCTGTGGGGAGATATTTTGAAATGACACCAACATATTGTTCCTCATGGACCCTCACTCGTTAGCCTTAGTATCTGTGGAACCCTCTGCCTGAATCAGCTTCCACCATGGTGATGGCCTATTGAGATTTTCTATTTCTATCAGTCCTTCTACATTTGTTAGTTGGCATTATACTGTAAGAAGCGTTTTCCTTTCTCCCTATTCATTCAATAACTCATTCACTCACTCACTCACTCATTCATTCATGTAAGTATGAATTCATTGATTTCTTTTCGTCCAATGGGTTGTATCCACTGACATCACTATTTTCATACTCAAAATTTCCCAGCTTTGGCTAGTAGGAGCCCCTTCAAGATAGATACTGGGTCCTTTTGACATGTCCTCATCATTATTTGAGCACTTCCTTGGTTTCTGGCACGAAAAGATGCTTCAGACTCATCTTGTACTTTTCCTGCCCCAGGAGCCTTGATTCCTTTCACAAGATGGTGTTTGGAAGCCGAGATCTAGGCCTTCAGTGAGCACCTTTCTACTGGGTATCATTGCTTCTAGGCCCTTTTCAGTGGACAGAGCTAGAAAATAAATGTATGTCTCTGTGTACATACACATACATACATCTCTATTTTTATGTAAGTATACATAAAATCAAAAACTATGAGTTTCTATTTATCTCCAATTGCAATCTAACAATCCAATGTTCTTTCTAATCATTCACTTTTATAAAATCACTTCTCTGACAGTGATTCCATTATCCTCTGATTATAGATTCCATTAGCCTCACTGTATTTACATTTTCACTCAGTTTTCTAATTTTTTTTTTTTTAGATGGAGTCTTGCTCTGTTGCCCAGGCTGGAGTGCAGTGGTGCAATCTCAGCTCACTGCAATCTCCGCCTCCTGGATTCAAGCAATTCTCCTGCCTCAGTCTCCTGAGTAGCTGGAACTACAGGCGCGCACCACCACACTCGGCTGATTTTTGTATTTTTAGTAGAGATGGGGTTTCACCATGTTGGCCAGACTGGTCTTGAACTCCTGACCTCAGGTGATCCACCTGCCTCGGCCTCCCAAAGTGCTGGGATTACAGGTGTGAGTCACCACACTCAGCCTCAATTTTCTAATTTTCTCAGTGTAACTAATCACGCAATCACAATAACCACTTCCTTCTCTTTATCACCCGTAACTGCCTCCTTGACCATGGAACATACCAACACCTCCTTGCAGCCCCCACTACAAGAGGGCCCTCTTCCTTCCCCTCACTGTCCCTCTTCCTTGCGCCAGGGCACACTAACGTGTCCATGCTGGTCCCCCTACCCCTCCCAGTGCTCTAATTCTTCTACTACCAGGCAGGCAGAAACCCTCCACAACCTCGCTACTCCATTTCTTGGCCTCCAGGCATGCCAACACCTCTGCATCCATGTCCCTTCTGCCTCCTTTCTCCATGTGCAGAGCATACTGACACCCCAGGGGATGATAAAGAAGGGAAGGAAAACTGCATGTCTCATTTTTACTTCCAAATTTTAAGTTTATTTCAATGTGTTTCTGCCAAAACTTTAATGGGATTTTAACTCTCTGTGCCTCAATTTCTATTGTTGCTTATGAGATACCTTGTAAGCCTACATTAGCCTGTGCAGGGCCCACCCCAAAGGCTGCCACAAGCAGGCTTAGTGTATCATGGGAATATGTATTAAAGAACTACAATTAAGTAGTGTGTGATTCAAGTAGTATATACAGGTTTTAGAAGACCTGATGTTAAACATCTCTCTAATAGTTTCTTAATTAATTGAAAAACATCCTTATTCCCAATAGTAGTTGTATATTCAAATTGGGTCAAAGTGAAAAGAAAATTACATAGTTTCTTAACTGCTTAATAAGCCCTTTCTTCTTACCTCTGATGTGTGCTAAGGGGGCTGCTAAATGCCATCTTTACAAGGAATTTAATTTAACATTCTTTCTGTAAAAATATTGACCTCCTGGTAGATATGATCAATATATCTTGATCTTATTGATTAACCGTTGATTTCTTTTCTGTGTAATAGAACCCAGTTTTTGAAATTCAAGAGCGGCAAGAGGAAATAGTGGAAATAAACCCTGAATATAATGATTCCAAGATGATAATAAAGGTAAACTTACTTATTTCATAAACCTGAATTATGAGCAGTGTTGTTCTCCTGTAGAAAAAAATATGGATTTGTTTAGAAAACTCAGCTTTCTTTTCTTTTTCATCTAAGAATATACCCATATTTAGCTAAATTATACTTTGCTTTGTGAGTATGGATCTATGTGTTCATTTTAGGAAGAGGAGTTTCCTGTTGTACCTCCCATATGAGCACCCCTGAGTTATTTTTAATCTCTTGAGACTTGTCAAGGCTTCGTAAGCACTAGGCGTTATTCATTACAATTCTTGAGTCCAGGAATGATTTATTATAATTTTTTTTTCTTGAGATAGGGTCTCACTTTGTCACCCAGATTGAAGTGCATTGGTGTGATCACAGCTCACTGTAGCATCGACCTCCTGGGCTCAGACTTCTGAGCAGCTAAGACTACAGGTGTGTGCCATCACACCCTGCTAATTTTTAAAATTTTTTTGGAGATCTTGCTGTGTTGCCCAGGCTAGTCTTGAACTCCTGGGCTCAAGGGACCCTCCTGCCTTGGCCTCCCAAAGCACTGAGATTACAGGTGTGAGCCATTGTGCCCAGCCTGTAGATAATTATGGATCATGGAATTTCGTATTTGAAAGGCATCTTGGAGGAGGCTATGTGATTTATCTTACAGATGAGGAAACAGGCAGAAAGGGAATATGACTTGCCCAAGACCACATAGAGGATTAGAGGAAAATTGGAAATAGAAACTAGTGTCCTAATTTCCATTCTGTTGCCCTCTCCGTTATATCAAAAGGCCACAGGGCAGGAAAAACGACCAGGCACCTGAGTGATGAAATAGCTCCCCTCAGTGTCCTTTCCGTGGTATTACAGAAGGACTTGGGACATCTGTTTTCCCATGGAAGCAAAGGCTGGTCTTTCTGATGATTGCTGCGTAGTGAGAGTCTATGGGAGGCACTTCTTGGTGACCCTTCCAATCGCAAACTAAAACCGTGGCACAGAAATCAGCACAGTTAGAAATGGGCTGACATATGCAGATTGGTAGCTGGAATTAGCCCAAGTGGGAAGGAAAAAACTGTGTCTGAAAATCTTTTAAAATAAAATACATTATGCATATGAAAAAGAATAAAGAATTACGTAATGAGAAGTTGGATTCCCATCCCAAAGATTAAAAAAATAAATCATTGCTGAATCAGTTGAAGCCCCCAGTGTATCCCTCTTGGGACATCTTCCTGTTCCCTCATGGCAACCACTAATCTGAATTTTCTACTTATTCTTCTTTCTCTTTTCTTCATAGTATTCACAAACTTTAGTTTAGTTTTTCATGATTTTGTATTTTATTTAAACGATATTATACTGCAAGTTTTCTTCTGCAGCTTCCCTTACCATTTAGCATCATGCTGTGAGCTTACATGGTCATTACTGGTAGCTTCAGTTCATTTATTTTCACTGCTATATAGAATTATTGGAGAAGTATTTTTATTCATTCCCTATTTGTTGGACATTTGGATTGTTTTCAGATTTTCGTAACACAAACAATGCTGTTACAAACTTTGTGGTACAGGACCCAGTGTGTATATGTGTAAGAATTTTTTTTCTGATTGCGTAAATGTACCTACAAGTAGGACTGCTGAATGGAAGGGGTCTACACATGTTCAACTTAAGAGATTATATTAAATTGCTCTACAACATGGTTGCACCATTTTTTGCTTCCCCCAGCAATATATTAAGAACTCCAGGAGCTGGGCATGGTGGCTAATGCCTATTATCCCAGCACTTTGAGAGTCCAAGGTGAGAAGTTCAAGTAAGGAGTTCAAGACCAACCTGGGCAACATAACAAGACCCTGTCTCTAAAAATAAAATTTAAGAAAAAAATTAGCTGAGCAGTCCTCGCTTCTCAGGAGACCGAAGCAGAAGGATGGCTTGAGCCTGGGAGTTCAAGGCTAAAATGAGCTTTGATCCTGCCACTACATTCCAGCCTGGGTGACAGAGCAAGATCCTGTCTTAAAAAAGAAAAAAAATGCTCCATCGTTCTAAATCTTCTTCAGAATTGAGCGTTGCCAGATTTATTTTTCTTAATGTGGTGGGTGTAAGATGGTATTTTATTATTGTAATTTGTATGTATTTTATTATTAATAAGTTTGGGCATCTTTTCACAATTATTGGTCATTTGTGTTTTCTCATCTGTGAAATGCCTAGTCATGTCTTTTGCCCATTTTTTATTAGGTTGTTTATCTTTTTCTTGTTAATTTATAGGAGCTCCTTATATATTGTGGTTACCAATCTTTTGTTAGCTATATGTGTAGCATGTATCTTCTAGTAGTTTTGACTTGTCTTTTTACTCTGTTCTTGGTGCCTTTTAAAAATTAAATGTGCTTATATTTGTAGTTTTTATTTTGAAGTAATTTCTTTTTTTTTCCTTTTTTTTTTCTTTTTTGAGACAGAATTTCCCTCTTGTTGCCCAGGCTGGATTGCAATGGCATGAACTCGGCTCACTGCAAACTCCGTCTCCCGGGTTCAAGCAATTCTCCTGTCTCAGCCTCCTGAGAGCTGGGATTACAGGTGTGCACCCCCAAACCTAGCTAATTTTGTATTTTTAGTAGAGATGGGGTTTCTCCATGTTGGTTAGGCTAGTCTTGAACTCCCGACCTCAGTTTATCTGCCCGCCTCGGCCTCCCAAAGTGCTGGGATTATAAGCGTGAGCCACCGTGCCCAGCCTATTTTGAAATAATTTCAAACCATGTAAGAAGAATTGTTACATGGCCATATTGAATCTAACCATACCCAAATTCACCAATTATTAAGATTTTTCCATCTGTGTTTTACAATTTTATCTATCTTTTTTCCTTGACCGATTTGAGATCAAACTGCAGACATCATGTTTTTTTGACCTCTGCCAAAATTTCAGTATGTATTTCCTAGAATAAAGACATTATATCACTTCTATAATCACGGTACAATGACAAGAATCAAAATTTTTAAAAATTGAGATGAAATTTACACAACATAAAATTAGCTATTTTAAAGTGCACAATTTAAGGCTGGGCATAATGGCTCATACCTGTAATCCCAGCACTTTGGGAGGCCAAGGCAGGCAGATCATCTGAGGCCAGGAGTTCGAGACCAGCTTGGCCAACATGGTGAGACCCTGTCTCTACTAAAAATATAAAAATTATCTGGGCATGGTGGTGCATGCCTGTAATCCCAGCTACTTGGGAGGCTGAGGCATGAGAATCACTTGAACCCAGGAGGTGGAGGTTGCGGTGAGCCAAGATCGCGCCAATTCACTCCAGCTTTGGCAACAAGAGGGAACCTCTGTCTCAAAAAAAAAAAAATTAAATAAATAAATAAACAAATAATATAGTTCACAATCCAGTGGCATTTAGTACATTCAAACTGCTGTGAAACCACCACCTCTATTTTAGTTCCAAATCATTTTTGTCACCCTAAAATAAAACCAATACCCATTAAGCAGTTACTCCCCAGTCACTCCACCCCCCACCCCACCCCACCCCTGCAGCAGCTATCAATCTGCTGCTTTAATGGATTTACTTCTTCTGGAGATTTCACATAAATGGAATTGTTCAATGTGTGATGTTTTGTGTTTCGCTTCTTTTGCTTAGTATAAGGTTTTTGAGGTTCATCCATGTGTCCATGTATTTGCATCAGCACTTCATTCCTTTTTATGGCTGAATTATATTCCATTATATGTAAAAACCACAATTTGTTTATTCATTTATCCACTGATGGATATTTGGGTTGTTTCTACCCTTTGGCTATTGCAAACAGTGCCACTATGAACATTCGTGTTCAAGTATTTGAGTACCTGATTTCCATTTTTTTTGGCTAGGTACCTAGGAGTGGAATTGCTGGGTCATATAATAATTCTATGTCTGACTTTCGGAGAAAGTGCCAAACTGTGTTCTGCAGCGACTGGGCCATTTTACATTACCACTAGCAATGTATGAGGGTTGCAATTTCTACATCCTTGCCAACACTTGCTATTTTCCTTTTTTTTTTTTTAAGACAGAATCTTGCTCTGTCACCCAGGCTGGAGTGCAGTGGCACGATCTCGGCTTGCTGCAACCTCTGCCTCTTGGGTTCAAGCGATTCTCCTGCCTCAGCTGGGATTACAGGTGCCTGTCACCATGCCCGGCTAATTTTTGTATTTTTAGTACAGATGGTGTTTCACCACGTTGGCCAGGCTGGTCTCGAACTCCTAACCTGAAGTGATCCACCCATCTCGGCCTCCCAAAGTGCTGGCTCCAAAGAGCCACTGTTCCCGGCCTTTTTTTTTTTAATAGCCATTCTACTGGGTATCAAGTGGTATCTCATTGTAGTTTTGATTTGCATTTCCCTAATGACTAATGATGTCATTATCTTATTATATCATTATATCAAGATATGTCATTATCTTATTATAAGGAAGTTTATGTGCTTATTGGCCACTTCTATATCTTCTTTGGAGAAATGTCTGTTTAAGTCGTTTGCCCATCTTTAGACTGGGTTTTCTTTTTCTTTTTGAGTTGTAAGAATTCTTTATATATTCTAAATAATAGACTCCAGATATACGATGTGCAAGTTTTTTTCTATACATTGAAGTCTATACATTGTCTTTTTAACTATGCTCGCGGTGGCGGGTGCCTGTAGTCTCAGTTACTCCCGAGGCTGAAGCAGGAGAATGGAGTGAACCCGGGAGGCGGAGCTTGCAGTGAGCGGAGTTCGCGCCACTGCACTCCAGCCTGGGGACACAGCCAGACTCAGTCTCAAAAAACAAACAAACAAACAAAAAAACTATGTTGCCCAGGCTAGTTTCAAACTCCTGGGCTCAAGGGGTCCACCTGCCTGAGCCTCCTGAATAGCTGGGACTATTGGCATGCACCACCACACCTGGCTACTTTCTTGATAATGTCCTTTATTACACAAAAGTTTTCTGAAGTTTGATTATGACGTGTCCTGGCATGGATTTCTTTAGGTTTATCTGATTTGGGTTCATGCAGCTTCTTGATCTGTGGATTTATGTCTTTTGCCAAATTTGGGACATTTTCAGTCATTATTTCTTCAAAAAAAATTTTAGCCCCACCTCATTCTTCTCTCTTTTAGGGACTCTGATGACACAAATGTTAGGTCTTTCATTACAGTCTCATAAGACCCTGAGACACTGTTTATTGTTTTCTGTTTTCTGTCTGTCATTCAGTTTGGGTGATTTATATTGTTCTATCTTCAAATTCATTGATTCTTTTCTCTGTCTTCTCTATTCTGCTGTTGAGCCCATATTTTGGTTGTATTTTTTTCAGTTATATATATATTTTTAAGACAGAATTTCACTCTGGCACCCAGGCTGGAGTACAGTGGCACGATCATAGTTCACTGTAACCTCAAACTCCTGGGCTCAAACGATCCTCCTGCTTCAGCCTCCCAAGTAGCTGGGACTACAGACACATACCATCATGCCTGGCAATTTTTTTTTATCTTTTATTTTTAGAGATGGGATCTTGCTTTGCTGTGCAGGCTGTCAGTTCTAAAATTTGCACTTGGTTCTTCTTTATATATTCTACTTCTCTGCAAAGAGTTTATATTTTTTCATTTATTTCAAACATGTTCATATTGTTCATTGAAACATTTTATGATGGCTGCTTTAAAATCTTGGTGAGATGGCCGGGCGCGGTGGCTTAAGCCTGTAATCCCAGCACTTTGGGAGGCCGAGACGGGCGGATCACTAGGTTAGGAGATCGAGACCATCCTGGCTAACACGGTGAAACCCCGTCTCTACTAAAAAATACAAAAAACTAGCCGGGCGAGGTGGTGGCGCCTGTAGTCCCAGCTACTCCAGAGGCTAAGGCAGGAGAATGGCCGTAAACCCGGGAGGCGGAGCTTGCAGTGAGCTGAGATCCAGCCACTGCACCCCAGCCTGGGCGACAGAGCCAGACTCCGTCTCAAAAAAAAAAAAAAAAAAAAAAAATCTTGGTGAGATAATTCCAACGTTTGTGTCACCTTGGTGTCAGTGTCTATCATTGTCTCCCCTCACAAGACTCTGGGTGGTTTTTGTTTTTGTTTTTTGTGTTTTTTGAGACGGAGTCTCGCTGTCACCCAGGCTGGAGTGCAGTGGTGTGATCTTGGCTCACTTCAACCTCCACCTCCCAGGTTCAAGCAATCCTCCTGCCCCAGCCTCCTGAGTAGCTGGGATTACAGGTGCCCACCACCATGTCTGGCTAATTTTTTTTTTTTTTTTTTTCCAGTAGAGACGAGGTTTCACCATGTTGACCAGGCTGGTCTCAAACTCCACCTGCCTTGGCCTCCCAAAGTGCTGGAATTACAGGCATGAGCCACCACGCCTGGCCTTCTGGGTGGCTTTTAAATCTTGTTTTAGCAGACCTTCTCTGACTGTACGTTGGTGGGAAAAGAGGGGCACTGCCTCTTTACTGCCAGGTGGAGGTAAAAGTCCAGGCCCCCACTGGGGACACCTTTGGGTGTGTGTGGAGGCGGGGGATGCCTCCTTACTACTGGGTTGCTGGGAGGGCCTCCCATGTGGCCTCCATTGACACCACCCAGGTGGGGAGCAGGAGGGTTTGCCACATGGGGGTGAAAGTCCAGGCTTCTTATGCACCTTGGCTGGCGGGGGTGGAGGTGGGCTGTTTGGCTGCCACAAGGAAGTTCATGTCAAAAAGTTTTTTGTCTTACTAGGCTGCCTTTTTCCTTGTCTTTTGGCTTTTCCGGGAGCTTTTTTTTCACCTGCATCCCTTGGTGTTTCCAGGTTGTCAGCCCCTCCAGCTTCCAGTCCAGGATATATAAGGTAAAAAGAAAACCACGGGAACTCACCACCTTGTCTTCCCTGAGTCTCAAGCTCCCTGGCCCATCGACCTTCTCTCTATATCTTCCAGAGTCTTCATAGGCTTGTTTTAGGTATAATGTCCAGGGGGATTGGCTGGACTTAGCGGAATAAATTGGAAGAAGTACATCTACCCCAATTTGTTCCCAATACCGTTTTCCAATGGTCCATTTTTTTTCTTCTGAGCTGCAATGTCAGCTCTTGTCATATATCAAGTTTCCATATAGACATCGGTATTTTTTAGTGGATTATTTATTTATTTACTTTAAAATTTTAGATTCAGGGGGTACATGCGCAGGTTTGTTACACAGGTATATTGCGCTGAGAGTTGGGCTTCTGATGATCCCATCGCCCAGGTAGTAAACATAGTACCCAATACTATGTTTTCAACCCTTGCCTTCCTTGCTCCCCCTTTCGGAATCCCCTGCTTGTTTCCATCTTTGTGTTTCTGTGTATTTAAATGGGTATTTTAATGTCTTTACATTTATTGAAATTTCCTTTAATGTCCTTCAGTAAGATTGTATAATTTTCTTAGTAAAGGACATGCTAATCTTTTGTTAGCTTTATTAGTAGATAGGCTTTCAATTTTTGCTTCATTGGGAATAGGACCTCTTTTAAAGCATATTTTAAATTGTTGCTGGTGTATAGAAATGAAGTTGATTTCTGCATATTGATTTTACAACAATAAACTTTTTGCAATTATAATACTTTTTCTGCAGATTATTTTGTAGCCTGGTTTGAATATCTTTCTTTTTGTTTTACTGTGCTGGCTAAGACTTTTCATTATACTAGTGTAGGAGAATGACGACAGTGGACATTCTTTCCTTTGTCCCGATTTTAAAGGAAATACATCTAATATTTTACCTTTGAGTATGACTTATGGTGTAGGTTTTTGAAGATGTCTTTTGTCAAGTTAAGGAAATTCCTATTCCTGGTTTACTAAAAGTTTTTTTTTTTGTTTTTTTTTTTGAGACAGATTGTAGCTCTGTCACCCAGGCTGGAGTACAGTGGTGTGGTCTCGGCTCACTGCAACCCCCACCTCCCGGGTTCAAGCGATTCTCCCACCCCAGCCTCCCAAGTAGCTGGGATTACAGGTGCACACCACCATACCCGGCTAATTTTTGTATTTTTAGTAGAGGTGGAGTTTCACCATGTTGGCCAGGCTGGTCTCGAACTCCCAATCTCAAGTGATCCACCCGCCTCAGCCTCCCAAAGTTTTGGGATTACAGGCGTGAGCCATCTCCCCTGGTTGCCAGAAGATTTTTTAAAATTCGGGAATGGAGATGATCATAAGGTTTTTAACCTTTCTTTTGGTAATGTGGTACAGATAATTTTTAAAGCCTTTTAACTAATTCAAAATCATTACTTGGGTTAAGAGAACACAACGCTTTAAATAAAGGCTTTATCAAATCAGGATTCAGGTAAAAACAATGAAGTAAAAGTCTGCTATGATTATAGATCTTTTACTAACTTAATAATTTTTAGTCAGTAAGAGGATTTGGAGTTAACTCAATTTTAAAGATCTGTAAGTCAAAAGGAGGTTTTTCTTTTTTTCTGCCTGTAAGCAGGTCATAATTTCCGCTTTGCTATGTCATTTGTAAAAGTGTCCAATTCTACATATAGGCCTTTAAGAAATAATTGCATTATTGAATTAGAGCAATTGGAGAATGTATTATGTTTCAGTTTGGACAGAATGCCATCCCCAAGCTTCAGGGACATCCCTGCCTTCTGACTTCTCCAAGTCCAGCGGTAAGGAGTATTGGGAGAATAAGAGAAATAAAGGGTAGGAAACTGGGCTCTCAGCACCCTTTTCTTGACTTCCCTTAATTGTAGGTGTCAGCCCGTGAAATTTTGGCCAGCTTCAAGCCTACATGGTAAATATATGTCTTGTGGAAATGCAAACAAACTTGTATTTCTTTATGGACGGTTAGTGATGGCTTTAGTCAAGATAGATTATTTTTTAAAAAAAACAAATGTAGGCTGGGCACGGTGGCTCATGCCCTTAATCCCAGCACTTTGGGAGGCTGAGGCGGGTGGATCACTTAAGGTCAGGAGTTCAAGACCAGCCTGGCCAACATAGTGAATCCCCATCTCTACTAAAAATACAAAAATTAGCCAGGCATGGTGGCGTGCGCCTGTAATCTCAGCTACTCAGGAGGCTGAGGCAGGAGAATTGCTTGAACCTGGGTGGAGGTTGCAGTGAGCCGAGATTGTGCCACTGCACTCCAGCCTAGGTGATAGAGCAAGACTCCATCTCAAAAAAAAAAAAAAATACTTTTTGATGATTTTAATGAGAATACAAAATGATTATTGTTCCTTCTGGCTCTGGATGTTAGCCCAGTGTTTTGTTGTTAACTATAATGTGATACAATATGACATAAAATATCATATGCAATATTATTTCAGATTGACTATGATATACCTAAGTAGGCCAGAATTAGCACAAAATAGTCCACCTGGAAAAAAAACCTTTATGAAAACGCCAGTTCATCTGAAATAATTAAGAATGGAACTACTGGCTAAAAATGTTACTTCCATAGGAAATTAATGATTTTGATAATGTATTAATTAATGAACAGTTTTTAAAAACATGTTTTGACATATTTTCAATGATGAGTTCTTCTATAATAATATAAATATATTTTTTAAAGCATTGGAGCCAGAATATCTGGGTTTAAATTATAGCTATGCCTTTTATGAATTGTGTTATCTAGGGCAAACAATTTAGCTCCCTAAGCCTCTACTTCCTCTTCTGTAAAATGGTGACTGTAATAATTACGTCCTAGAGTTGTTAGAAAGATTAAGTGAATTGATCGAGCACAGTGGCTTACACTTGTAATCCCAACACTTTGGGAGGCCGAGGCAGGTAGATCACAAGGTCAGGAGATCAAGGCCATCCTGGTGAAACCCCGTCTCTACTAAAAATACAAAAAAAATTATCTGAGTGTTGTGGCTCACGCCTGTAATCCCAGCTACTCAGGAGGCTGAGGCAGGAGAATCACTTGAACTGGGGAGGCGGAGATTTCAGTGAGCCGAGATCACGCTACTGCACTCCATCCTGGCAACAGAGCAAGACTCTGTCACAAAAAAAAAAAAAAAGAAAGAAAGAAAGATTAAGTAAATTGAAGTATGTGAAATGCCCAAGATAATAGATGTCAGAACATGGTATTTCTAATTCCCTCCACTATCATGCTGCAGTACCATGTGGTGATTATGGGCAGGGACTGTGGGGCTCCACTGCCTCACAAGCTGTGTGAGTGTGGGAAAGCTACTTAAACGCTCTATGCCTCAGGGCTCTCATCTGTAAAATGGGCATAATAAAAGCACCTTTCTCATAGGGTGGTTTTGAGAATGAATTTAGTTTATTGATATAAAATGCTTAGAATGGTGCCTGGTGCGCAGGGAATGCCATGTACGTGGTAGCTAGTGTTGTACTGAGACAGTCACAGTTTGTTGTATTGGCATATCTCTGACTTACTACTTCTATAACTAACTACAGCTGTGGCCAGCAATATGCTTCAGGCCTTGGGAGTGTGGTGGAATTTTCGGACTTGAATGCCAAGGGTATAGCGAAGAGGGTGGAAAAGCAGAGGGGGCCACGTATTCCCCAGCTCTGGGCTCCGAATGCTTTGCTAAAACAGCCATCTTTGCAGATTCTAGCTCTGGGCCTAAGGAGAAGAGAGCAAAGATATTATGTGTCTCCTGGGTGCCATTTACCCTCACTGAGCCACTGCTTTAATAAACACCAATATTTTTTAGCTCCACTGTAAATGTTGTTTATAGTGAAAATCATATTATAACAGCGTTAATGGAATTTTTTAGAAGATGAAATATAAATCAACTATAAACGCACCACTTGATGCAAAAACTGATTTTATTTTTTCAATTTACCTCTAGTTTTTGTTTACATGCATATCTAGTATATGTTTACACACTAGACATCACTGTTTATGTACAATTATACCCTGTTTATTAATACTAATAGATAACAGTTTTCCCTGTTATATGGTCTTTATAATAGTAATTATTGATAGCTGCACAATCAGGTAGATAGGCCATAATTACTCCATTTTTGAAAATGACAATGTCCACCTTCTACATACTGCAGGAGAACTTTACATATGATTGATAGCAAAGAAAACAAATTGTAAAAGAAAAGGAAATCAAAGGCCTAAATCTCCTTATGGCACAAGGGGAGTATTTGATTGCTTAGGAGCTGTAAAATTCTATCATTTGATTTTGCAATGCATTTCTACCCCAAATGCTTTATTTCATGTATGTATTTTTAAATTTAAGAGAATTAAAAAGAAGTTGCATGTGATGGGTATGTGGAGGTTCATTATACTATTGTCTATTTTTGTATATGTTTAAAATTTTCCATAAGTAAAAAGCTTATAAAAGAATCTGCTTATAAATGATTTTTCCAATACCCTTGGAAATAGCTAGAAATATCTCTTGATGAACATGCCAACACTAGCCCACATGGCACCTTTGTGGGAAATTTCAAAGTATCTCTTCCTCAAGAGCTTTTGCTTCCCTGTACCTGGAAGGGTATGTGGTAAGGGTATGTCAATCTACAGCGTCTACATGGGAAAAGCTCCTTGCATGTGGCTCTCTTGCACGGTGCACAACTTCCCACATATGCAAGAGTTTTGCTTGGGTATCACTAAACCACTGTTGAGAACGTGTTTAAGAAGGGGGCACAGGGAGGGGAAGCGGAGGAGGCTGTAGCTGTTCCATCATTGGTGACCTGTACTGGGTAGAGGGTGACTAGCAGTGCGTGATGCTACAGTAAGCCATGCCCTCCCCAACCCACCCTGGGCTGGGACCCTTGGGCCTGCCGTAGGTCATAGTCCACATTCACTGGAGGGGTCCACTTTATGGTTGTGTCCTGACCACATCCTTGCTAAGACCCAGGCTCTCCTTTCTCCTGGTAGCTCCGTGATGAACACAAATGCCCCTCTTCTGTCGGACCCTCCAAACACTCCAGTCCAGGCTACCTTGGGATTGAGGTCATTACTCTCCTCTTGACTTTCCTTGTGCTTGTGGTTCTGTCCTGGTCTCGGTCAGTCCTTTCCCTGTCTGACGCTAGTCCCAGCTCCTTCTCCCACTCCTGGGAATTCTCCAGTTCCTGACTCACTGCAGCCTACAGGCTCTGACAGCACGGCAGGTGTCAGAAGGCGCCTCTTATGTTCAAGGGTCCTGGGCTTCCAGCAGGGGAGTAGATGGCAAGTTACCAGTAGCCCCAAATGTTAGATGCTGTGGCTTGATTAAAGAGAAATAGGAGACAGCTCCACGAGATCCAACAGATGGTCTGATTAGGGAAGAAGGAAGCCAGTGCAGAACACTTACAAAATAGCCATGCTTGGTAGTGAGCTGTTTTGGACAGGGACGGTTTGGCAAGCCCTTCTGAAATCTTCACAGCCGGCGTCAGGCCTGGCACTGAGCAGCATGCAACAAATGTTTGTTAGATGAATAAATAAAACATAAGGGCTGGGCACAATGGCTCACACCTGTAATCCCAGCACTTTGGGAGGCTGAGGCGGGTAGATTGCTTGAGTCCAAGAGTTCGAGACCAGCCTACCCAACAGGACAAAACCCTGTCTCTACTAAAAATATTACACAAAAATTAGCCAGGTGTGGTGGAGCATGCCTGTAATCTCTGCTACTCAGAAGGCTGAGGCAGGAGAATTGCTTGAACCCAGGAGGCAGAGGTTACAGTGAGCCAAGATCGTGCCACTGCACTCCAGCCTGGGTGACTCTGTCTCCAAAAACAAACAAACAAATAAAACACTACAGTATAAAATGTATATATTAGGGCTGAAGAAATATAGCATAGAAGAGTGATCTAAGTGGATGAGAGTAATAAAGATTTCCTACAGGGGGAAATTATTTTTAGAAACTGAAGGGTAGAGAGAAGTCTAGTGCAGTGGTCCAAGCACTGATAATAATACTGTGTAGCCTCTAGCAAGTTACTTAACCTTTCTGTCTCAGACTCATTTCCAAAACAGAATAGTGCTTACTAGATAGGGGTGGAGTGTTCCCTCGCAGGCGGCGCTCACTGGAAGGCCTCAGTGAGTTAATGGGTAAATGGAGCTTAGTGCTTGATCAATAGAATTAGCAACATCATCTGATATCCCATCTTCACATTCCTGGGAGTCCTCTACAATTGCTCCTAATTCTTTTACAAAGTAACATTTCATTTTCCTAAATTATTTTCTAGTCCTTGTTCATAGTCAACTTGTTTTGTTAAAATTACTTTATTCTTTGTAGAAAATGACGCATGCTCATAAAAAAGAGCTCCAAGCAATAAAGTACAAATAAAGAAGCAAAATAGAGTTGATATTTAAGAACAGAGTGCTGTTCTCATCACGTGGCCCTAGTCCCTTGTATGTGTATTGTTCTCATGCGAGTCACTGAAGCAAAATATTACTCCATGGAACCTGGATGTTTTTGCTAATTCTTGAATAAAGACAAACAAGTTTGTATTATAAAGTATCAAACTACTTTATCTAGACTTTTTCTAAATAAGAAAACTGAACTGACTTTTTCTAGAATAAAAACTGAGGTTATTTGTACAAGACATTGGAAACAAATTCCTCTTGACATTTTCTTTCTGTTTATCAGTGGCCTGAGGCTTCCACCACTAAACCCAAAGCTGTAGATACCTATTGCTTGGATTATAAGCCTTCCAAGGGAAGAAGGTAATGATGTTTTTTAGCATATGTGGAAATTGATATTGCATCCTGTAACTCTGGAAAAACTCATTGTTCAGATTTATGTGAAGGGTTTAGCCTGAAAATAATCTGTTGAGAAAGGAGAAAGATTTGTAATATCCAACAATTTCAAAGCCAAAGTTTCTAGTTCATTGCTCATATTTAGAGATAAGAAAGTAGGCCCAGGAGAACTGGGAGGACAGGGCAAAAGTCACAGTGGACTAAGATCACAACCCAAGTCTCCTGACATGTAGCCATTTGGAAACATTTCTTTCTATTTGCGTCCTGGAAGATGGACAAGAGGCAAAAAAAAAAAAAAAATATATATATATATATATATATATATATATTTAAAAGGATATAAGGGCGGGCGCAGTGGCTCTTGCCTGTAATCCCAGTACGTTAGGGGGCTGAGGCAGGTGGACTGCCTGAGGTCAGGAGATCGAGACCAGTCTGGCCAACATGGTGAAACCCCATCTGTACCAAAAATACAAAAAAATTAGCCAGACGTGGTGGCATGCACCTGTAATCCCAGCTACTTGGGAGGCTGAGGCAAGGGAATTGCTTGAACCAGGGGGGCGGAGGTTGCTGTGAGCCGAGATGGTGCCACTGCACTCCAGCCTGGGTAACAGAGCGAGACTCCACCTCAAAAAAATAAATAAAAAAATAGAAAGGATATAAATACATGATTAAATAGGAGAAATAAGACCTAGGGTTCAATAGGTCAGTAGAGTGGCTTTAGTTAACAATAATCCATTGAACACTTCAAAATAGCTGGAAGAGAATAATTTAAACATTCCTAGCATAAAAAGAAGATAAATATTTAAGGTGGTGGATATCCCAGTTGCCCTGATTTGATCTTTACACATTATATGAAGGTATCAGAATAGCACATGTTGGCTAGGCACGGTGGCTCATGCCTGTAATTCCAGCACTTTGGGAGGCTGAGGTAGAAGGATCACTTGAGGCCAGGAGTTTGAGATCAGCCTAAGCAAAATAGTGAGACCCTGTCTCTACAGAAAAATTTAAAAATTAGCCAGGCATGGTGGTATGTGGCTACAGTCCCAGTTACCTGGGAGGCTGATGCAGAAGGATTAGTTGAGCCCAGGAGTTCAAGGCTGCAATGCAGTGAGCATTCCAGCCTGGGCGACAGAGTTAGACCCTGTCTCAAAAAATATATATGTAATATAAAGTTACATATACCCCAAAATATGTAAATCTATTATGTATCAATTTTTAAAAAGGAATAAAAAGAGTAGGTAGTTCAACTAAAAGCTCAAGACAGGCAATTGTATTAGTCAGAAAGTAAAGCTTTCTGGAGAGTTTCCTAACTTCTGAATAAACTTCAGAAGGTTTTGCAGAATTAGACTAGTGGAAACATAAGGCTCATGCTAAAAAATTTCAGAAAGTGCTCTTGCCCTTTTAAGTGCAAAATAAGCAGATTGCAAAGGCGCTTTTCGTCTCCACCCTGAAAGGTGGTGTTTGTACCTAAGAAGGGAGGAACGAGAGGGCCTGAGTACTGAGGCTTTCCACTTATACAATTTCCCAGTGGGGACCTGGGGATCTGAAAGGCCTGTGCCAAGTCAGGCTTTATGCTGGCATTGAGAAGTGCTACACAAGTGGGCAGAAACAATGAAGAAATGCTTTGTGGTATTAGAGAGACCTCACATCCCCCAATACGCTGTTAATATCACTTGTTGAAATTAGAGACTGGGCACAGTGGCTCAAGCTATAATCCCAGCACTTTGGGAGGCTGAGGTGGGAAGATCCCTTGAGCCCAGGAGTTCGAGACCAGCCTGGGCAACATGGTGAGACCGCATCTGTACAAAAAAAAAAAATTATTTTTTAATTTTTTTGGAAGCAGGGTCTCATTCTGTTACCCAGGCTGGAGTGCAGTGGCACAGTCATAGCTCATTGCAGCCTCGAACTCCTGGGCTCGACTGATTCTCCCATCTCAGCCTCCATGCCCAGCTAATTTTTTTTTTTTTTCAGATGGAGTTTCACTCTTGTTGTCCAGGCTGGAGTGCAGTGGCACAGTCTCAGCTCACCGCAACATCCGCCTCCTGGGTTCCAGTGATTCTCCTGCCTCAGCCTCCTGAGTAGCTGGGATTATAGCCGTGCGCCACCACACCTGGCTAATTTTTGTGTTTTTAGTAGAGTCGGGGTTTCACCATGTTGGCCAAGCTGGTCTCGAACTCCTGACCTCGTGATTCACCTGCCTTGGCCTCCCAAAATTCTGGGATTACAGGCGTGAGGCACCGCGCCCAGCTCGTTCTCAGCTAACTTTTATATTTTTTGTAGAGACAGGATTTCAAACTCCGGGGCTCAAGCAGTCTGCCTGCCTTGGCCTCCCAAAGTGCTGGAATTACAGGCGTGAACCACTGCACCTGGCCTACAATTTTTTTTTTTTAATTAGCTGGGTGTGGTGGCATGTACCTGTGGTCCAAGCTACTCAAGAGGCTGAGGTGGGAGGATGTCTTGAGCCCAGGAGGTTGAGGCTGCAGTGAGCTGTGATTGTACCACTGCACTCCAGCCTGACAACAGAATAAGACCCTGTCTCAATAAAAAAAGAAAAAAAAAAGAAGAAGAAGAAGAAGAAACTAGCATAGGTTTTTAGTGAGGAGAGGCTATCTCTAAATCCCCACCATGACTGCACCCTTGGGCTTCAAGACATACTTTAAGGGGGTGCTCAGGTACACCGGAGCTGTCCAATCCTAAGAGCCGCTGATGTTTTCACAGGTGGGCTGCAAAAGCACCAAGCACCAGAATCACATATGGGACTATCACCAAAAAGAGAGGCTACTGCGCAGAAGACCAGACTATTGAGAGCTGGAAAGAAGAAGGTTTCCCAATGGGCTTGAAGCTTGCTGTGCTTGGTATTTTCATCATCGTGGTGTTTGTCTACATAACTGTGGAAAATAAGTCGCTGTTTGGTTAAGTAATTTAGGAGCAAAGCAATACTCCAAGCGAGGCCTCCTGCTTCAGGAAAGAACCAAAAAAGTACCCTGAAGGGCAAGCCTAGCCCACAGCCCTCCCTGGCAGGGAGCCTTCCCTTGCACTGTGCTGCTCTCACAGATTGGTATCTGGGCTCAGCCAGGTGGAAAGAACCAATGGGAGAACGAGGCACCTGTATTAAGAGCATGATGGTTAGGAAATCCCCCAAGTCATGTCAGCTCTCATTAAAGGTGCTTTCATATTTGAGCAGGTGTCAAACAAGGAAACTGTCTGACATTTTTTTTCTAACTCTGGTGACAAGCCATAGGTCGCATTTTATTCAGTCTTCCAATTGTATAGCCAACTCTGGGAAACAGCTAATTTACAGCAGAGAAATGTGTCTAGTTTAGCAAACACAAAGAAATGTCCAACACCATGGAAACAATTTAGAAGAGGATAGCATTTTTGCCTTTGAAACTTAGCAAGGTTCTAAAAAATTACCATCTGACAAAGAAATGTAATAACTATGGCCTCAGGGACCAGGCAGAGCTGTGTAGGCACCCGGCTCCTCTCTTTATCGGCCCTGTGACCTTGGGTGAGTTAGTTGTCCTCCCTGATTTTCAGTTTCAACTTTCAAGGGTAGAATAGGCCTCTTAGGGTGATTAAGAATTTGAGGAAATAATGTGCGTAATGTACTTAGTGTGGTCCACACCTGACTTGTAGCAAGTACTCAATAAATGCTTAAGCAATGTTATACTTTGGCACAATATTGGAGGAGCTAATTCTAGGTACAAAAAAGCACCAGAGGCTGGGCATGGTGGCTCAAGCCTGTAATCCCAGCACTTTGGGAGGCCGAGGTGGGTGGATCACTTGAGGTTGAGAGTTCGAGACCAGCCTGGCCAACATGGTAAAACCCTGCCTCTACTAAAAATACAAAAAATTAGCTGGGCATAGTGGCACACGCCTGTAGTCCCAGCTACTCGGAGGCTGAGGCAGGAGAATCACTTGAACCCAGGAGGCAGAGGTTGCAGTGAGCAGAGATCGTGCCACTGCACTCCAGCCTGGGCAACAGCCTAGGCTCGTGATCCACCCGCCTCAGCCTCCCAAAGTTCTGGGATTACAGCATGAGCCACCATGCCTAGCCTGAAAATGCTTATTTAAAAAAAAATTTTTTTAATAGCTTTATTGTGGAATTGCTTGAGTCCAGGAGTTCAAGGATGCAGTGAGCTGTGATCACACTACTTAACTCCAGCCTGGGCCCTGTCTCTTAAAACATATGTATATATAGAGAGATAAATAATTTATATGCCATACAATTCACCTACTGAGAGTTACAATTCAATTATTTTTAGTATATTCATAGAGTTATGCAATCATTCCCACAATAAATTTTAGAATATTTTCATAATTCCAAAAAGAAATCCTTAAGGTGCTTATTTTAATGGTAAACAAAAAAGGACACAAATTTGTTGTACCATATTATCACAACGGCACAACAGTGGAAGAAAATATGTCAAAATGTTAAGAGTACTTTGGTGACTGGGGCTCTAATTTTTCCCCCATTTCTACTTTTTAAATATTTTTAAAGATTTCTGTAAGCAGTGTATATCAGTTTGCTAATGAGAGAATATAAACATTAATTTTTTAAAATTGCATTCTATCTGGATGTGGTGGCACATGCTTGTAATCCCAGCACTTTGGGAGGCTGAGGTGGGAGGATCGCTTGAGGCCAGGGGTTTGAGACCAGCCTGGACAACATAGCAAGACCCTGCCTGTAAAACAAAAAAAGAAGAAGAAATTTTTGAAAAACTGCATACTGTATTACAGTTTGAATGCAAAGATCATAAAACTCTAGTAAGGCTGGCTTAAACAGGGATCTATTTTTATCTCATAAAAAGAAGTCTAGGGCCGGGTGCTGTGGTTCACACCTGTAATTCCAGCACTTGGGGAGGCCTAGGTGGGCGGATCACCTGAGGTCAGAAGTTCGAGACCAGCCTGACCAACATGGAGAAACTGCATCTCTACTAAAAATACAAAATTAGCCAGGTATAGTGGCGCATGCCTGTAATCCCAGCTACTCAGGAGGCTGAGGCAGGAGAATCGCTTGAACCTGAGAGGTGGAGTTTGCAGTGAGCCGAGATCAGGCCATCGCGCTCCAACCTGGGCAACAAGAGTGAAACTTGGTCTCAGAAAAAACAAAAAAGTCTAGAGTTTAAGATGTTCAGTATTGTTTAAAATGACCAAAAATGTAATATAATGCTGATTCAAACAAACCAAGTGCAGAAAAAATTATGATCAAGGAGATGTGAAACTGACCCGATTTTTGGTGGTATTCAGAGAGGTTTGTTTTGACCGAGCTGCAGCAGCTGTCTGACTCCCAGGGGAAAAAGCGAAAGGCTAAGAGAATCCCAGACACTGGCCTGGCACCTTGGAACTGCTGAAATTCCATGAAGAATCCAGATAATGGCCATCACATTATCATTTAAGGCAGGACACAAGGACTAACCATGTCTCTTCCCCAGCTCTACATATTTCATCCTGAGCAGCAAGGCAGGCTGAGAAAGTGGGCATTGGAGCCTTAGCAGCCTCTGTGTCAGACAGACAAGGGAGAAGAGGATTGGTCATAGGAGTAAGCAGAGCCAACCTACAGTGGTGGTCACATGCACTTAAAAAGGAAAACTTATGTTGTGTTGTTTTGTTTGTTTGTTTTGAAACAGGGTCTCACTCTATTACCCAGACTGGAGTGTGGTGGATCACCGCAACCTCCACCTCCCCGGCTTATGAACCTCCCACCTCAGCCTCCAGAGTAGCCGGGACTACAGGCCGGTGCCACCACACCTGGCTAATTTTTTTTTGTATTTTTTATAGAGATGGGGTTTCACCATGTTGCCCAGGCTGGTTCAGAACTGCTGGGCTCATGTGATCCTCCCAAAGTGCTGGGTTTACAGGTGTGAGCCACCACGCTCCACCGAAACTTCTGTTCTTAATAAAACCAAACGTTATAAAAAATAAAACTCCTAGAAAGTTGGCGGGGCGCGGTGGCTCAAGCCTGTAATCCCAGCACTTTGGGAGGCCGAGTCGGGGGGATCACAAGGTCAGGAGATTGAGACCATCCTGGCTAACCCGGTGAAACCCCATCTCTACTAAAAAATACAAAAACACTAGCCGGGCGAGGTGGCGGGCGCCTGTAGTCCCAGCTACTCGGGAGGCTGAGGCAGGAGAATGGCGTAAACCCGGGAGGCGGAGCTTGCAGTGAGCTGAGATCCGGCCACTGCACTCCAGCCTGGGCGACAGAGCGAGACTCTGCCACAAAAAAAAAAAAAAAAAAGAAAGTTTCCTCCATTATTTTCAACTTTTCCTAGTTCTTTTATGTTAGGATTCTGGAATCAGTTTAAAGACACTGCACAAGACAATTACTTTTGTGTCTGACCATTCAAGGTGTGAGTCCCCAACCAGCAGTATCAGCATCTCAGGCTCCGTCCCAACTACTGAGCCAGAATCTGCATTTCAACAGGATCCCAGGTGATTCCTACCCAAATTAAAGTTTGGGAAGCATTGTGGTGGCGCATCCCTATCAGATGCTGTGATACAGTGATATAATAAAAAATTTATATTTTGTCTCTGCCCTGGTTCCTGGCACACAGTTCCTAAAACCTTGGAATCTCCTGCGTGGTAAGAGTGTCTTTCGTATGCTATTTGAGATGACTGGTGACTGGGGGCCACTAGATAGCTTCAGAATGGGGACAGGTCACCAGAAAGACCAAGGCAGGATTCTAGAGTTAGAACTTTCAGTCCCATCCCCCCAGCCTCCAGGAAAGGGAGATGAACTGAAGGTTAAGTTGGTCATGAATGGCCAATGATTTGATCACTCATGCCTCCGTAATGAAGCCTCCATAAAAACCTAAAAGGACTGGGTTCAGAAGCGGGTTCTGGGTAGCTGAACCTATGGAGATGCCTGGGGGGTGGAGTGCTGGAGAGAGCACAGAGCTCCGCACCCCTTCCCATATGCTTCACCCTGTGTGTCTCTTCCATCTGACTGCTCATCTGTACCCTTTATTATTAAACCAATACATGTAAGGAAAGTGTTTCCCTTACTTTTGTGAACCACCCTAGCAAATTAATCTAACCCAAGGAGAGAGTCCTAGGAACCTTGATTTATAGCCGGTTGGTCAGAAGCACAGGTCACAATGTAGGGTTCATAACTGGCATTGGAAGTAGAGGGCAGTCTTCTGAGACTGAGCCCTGAACCTGTGGGATCTGATGCTGTGCCCAGGCAGACAGTGTTGGAATTGAATTGAATTAAATTATAAGGCATCCAGTTGGTGTCTGATGGATAATTTGGTGTCAGAATTGCTTGGTATGTGGGGAAAAAACCCATACATCTGGTGTCAGAAGTGTTGTGGTGGCTGGGAGTAGGAAAAAACACTTTGGTTGGCCGGGCATGGTAGCTCACACCTATAATCCCAACACTTTGGGAGGCTGAGGTGGGCAGATTGCTTGAGCTCAGGCGTTTGAGACCAGCCTAAGCAACATGGCAAAACCCTGTCTCTATAAAAAATACAAAAATTAGCCATGTGTGGTGGTGCATGCCTGTAGCCTCAGCTACTTGGCTGACTGAGGTGGGAGGATCGTTGAACCCTGGAGGTTGAGGATATAGTGAGCCATGGTTTCAATACTACACTCCAGCCTGGGTGACAAAGTGAGACCCTGTCTCAAAAAACAACAACAACAACAACAACCCAAAACAAACAAATAAACAACAACAACAACAAAAAAAACCTTTGTTTTTTTCCTATCTCTAATAGATCCATATATAGGAGGAGTCTCTAAAACTCAGGTCAGAGGACCAGTGAGTTAAGTCTATCAGGAACCTAAGTGCAATGGGGGACACGTTCCCTCTTGGAGAAAAACTTGTCTTAGAAGAAGAGACTCAACGCATACAAGTTTGGTCCCAGGCAATGTGTCACCATCCGTTCAACAATCGATTAGCACCTCTTGTTCCCTTGCAATAAAATGACAAAACCAGTCAGGCGTGGTGACTCACATCTGTAATCCCAGCGCTTTGGTAGGCAGAGGTGGGAGGATCACTTGAGGCTGGGAGTTGAAGACCAACCTAAGCAACATAGCAAGACTCTGTCTCTATGAAAAGAAAGAAGGAAGGAAGGAAGGAAGGAAGGAAGGAAGGAAGGAAGGAAGGAAGGAAGGAGGGAGGGAAGGAAGGAAAGAGAGAGAGGAAGGAAGGAGAAAAAGAAAGAAAGAGAGAGAGAGAAAGAAAGAAAAGAAAAGA